GTTTTTGATAAAACTGAGAGATGATAGATAATGTGGGGGGGGGATAAAGTTTTCCTGTAAACGGGACCTAGCTGCCCGGATAAGCCCCATGCAGGACGAGCATTTTCACATCGTCGGCACTGCAGGGGGCCTTGTTGTCATGGCTATTATGACTCTCATTATTTGTAGTTGGTGAGCGCTTCCTGCAGCGCCATTGTGGTCGCCATCACACAGGACAAAGTGATAAATTATAGCAATACGGGGACTAGGGCGCTGGGGCACTTGTGATGGGTGGTGGGGTCGGCTATTCGCTCATGCGGATCTCAGAGCACTGCCCTGCTTTGAGCAAAGAAAGACAAACTTAAATGAATCACCATACTGCCAAAAACAATTGTAATTTTCACGTGGAAAATTTGTTGCCAAGTTACGATTGAAAATTGTACAGTTAGATAATTCTTGAGCCATTCCATATTTACTTGGTTCTTGTGTCCGCGAACAAGAAGGGGCTGATGTAAATAAACGCTATCGATCATAATTTTACATCGTGCTTAATAAAGTGCTGATCAGAAAAAATCGTGTCAATCATGAAAGGTATTTTTCAGAGTTCTGAGTTTCAGAGTTTACGCGTTCTGGCAAAATAAGTGGCCTCTCCGATTCTAGTTTGATCTTCCCGCCATGTGTGTAACATTTTGTAAAATCGAAAAGGGCTCGGAAACCTCGTTTTACTACATGACTGTACCTTGAGCTATTTATATGTAAATAATGTCACTGCGCGCCAGCGTGTTGCTCGGCTTACGCGGCTTAGCTTCATTATGCGGTCAGATGAGGTGTGTCGGGTCAGAGCCGAGCGGAGCCGAGCGGAGCCGAGCGGAGCCGAGCGGAGCTGCGTAATGTGGATCTGATTTGTTGTGTTGTGACGGAACAGCTGCATTATAGCGTCGTTGGGGTTTGGGTGGAGTTGAAATCCTCGCCCAACGCTGCCCTACCCGACGTGTGGCACACGCCGTGTATTTTCTCAGTCCTTCTGCTTTAGGACTTTTTGGCATATCGAGATAAAGATACACTCAAAAAAATACAACGGTTTTGTTTTGAAAGGGGGCTTATCAACTTAGGCAAAATCTCAACCCAACGAGTATATATACTGTCCTAATAATTGTTAGCCCTGGGACATGCTTGAGACATGATACTGATTTTACATTTTAATCACTATTCAACATTCAATGCGATGATGATGATATCCCACCACCATCCCTAACCATGCTATGCTCTTTGTGTTCCAGGATGCAGCAGCACCTCGCTGGCTCGCAGCTCGCCAACTCGAGCGGGAGCTCGCGACGCAGCGGCGACGCCCACTCGCCGGCCCCGGGTGACACCGACTCGGACTCCGACATCAGCCTGGGCGCCAACACCCCGCCGCCGGACATGCAGTACTCGCCGCCCTACCGGAGGTCGCGGTCGCGGTCCAGGTCGCGGTCGCCCATCAACAGCCACTCGCCGCCGCTGCACCGGCGGTCCTCGCCTTCGCCGTCCGACCACTACCCGTCGTCGCTGCGCTCGCCGCTGGCGGTGCGCGCCTCGTCCTCGCCGCCCCCCGCGAGCTACGCGTCGGCACTGTGCATGTCCCGCCACCTCCTGCCGCCCGCCGGCATGCCGCAGGCGCTCCGGTTTGGCGCGCACTCGCCGCCACCACGGCCGCCCTCGCCCGGCAGCATCGCCAGCCGGCTCAACCTGTCCACCGACTCCTCGCCCGGGTCTCCCCCGCCGAGCTTTCGGCCGCGGACGTTGTCGCCGCTGCACATGGGGTCCGCCCTGCGCCTGAGACAGCTCAGCCCGCCGCCCATCTCCTCGGGGCTCCCCCTGTTAACCACCCCTGGGCAGACGCAGCCCGCGCGCCCGCTGCCCAGAACGCTGCACCGGCCTTTCTCGCCGCCCAGACTCACGTGATATTTCCCGGGGGCGGCGGCCTCCTCCCCGCTTCACGTTGTGCCCTCCACTTCTTGATGACGAAACGGGAGGCACGAGCTTGTCAACTCGCGGCTGTGTTCCTATTTTAAAGACTTTTCTCTCGAGGACATTACTCCGCCGGCGCGTCTGATTTCTTTTTCTTGTTTTTATCGGCCGCGCGCGGGGGAGTCTGCCTTTCCTCATCGCTCTACACATGTCGTCGTCAGAAGACTGGACTTATAATTGTAAGGCAAATGTCTCAGGTTGGACGTACCGATTCTATTTGTTAGCCCATACTGCGTAAATATATTGTAAAATGCTCGGAAAACTTTCCTTTGTCTTGTGTCCTGTCATAGGCAAAGGGCACAATTGAAAGGAAAGACAAGCACAGATCTGATTGACGACGCCTAGAAGTATAAAGTGATATTGACTGTTTAAACCGTGTGATATCCAAAGTGTGACTGCGTAAAACAATTTAATTTGAAATGGTGTTAATCTTGGAAACGCGCTCATGCTACAGTCTTCATTGCTGAATTTCGTTGATGTGGTTTCGTTTGTGGTTCTTTGGTGGCTCCGAAAAAATAAAAAAGTGAAAATTATCCAATACATGTAGCGCAGTTTCATCCAAGAGATGATCGCCGTAACGGCAGTCACCTAAGATTTATTATTCTTTAATGAATTAAAATATAATTGGTGCTGCTATGTTTGCTAGCTATTTCTTACTCTTGTTTACTCTGAGACGAAATTTGTTTCACCCTGTTTTGACAAGGCTGTCCTGGAGTATGTTTTGTCCTACATACATAAATTTATATCATTAATTCATTATATTTTGTTATTGTTTTGTAAACGGTATAGTTATTGTGATTTTACAATATATCTTCTGTTTTCCGTTTCATTTAAAATGTATATGATTTGCTTTGTGCAATGATAATGTCATATCGTGGCATTCCATGCAGCTATGTCCTGAAAAGCTGTTTAGGATTGTCTTGATGGATATCTAAAGAATTTATCAGTATAGTGCAATATAAAAATGACCATTACTTTGTACAAATGTAGTAGACTTTGGTAAATTGTTTCCTTGTCTAGTAGCACAAAAAGCATGAGAAATTATAAGATCCGATGTTCTTTCCTATTTAATGTAATGCGATCATTCAACCCGAGTGTGGATTTTTTTGTGATATCTCATGCATGATAGTTACTCATGTCTAAGCTCTCAGGGTAATTAAAAACAAATTTGCCATCTGTAACGAGGCACCTTTCTATTCGCCTGCATTTTTGCAACAGTCACTTAGAATAGTAATTGCTAATAATGAACACAATGTAAAAAGAAATATTCACTTGCATAGTTATCAAGCAATTGTTTTTGATAAAACTGAGAGATGATAGATAATGTAACCTATATGTATAGTATTAATATTATAAATTGTAGATACTGTATATGTGCTATATGCCCTTTTAAAATTATGAATTCTATATATTGTATTGTAAATATTTAAAAGGCGTAAAATAAATTGCAAAATGAAGCTCATCATCCCGACGTAAGAACTGTGTAGTGTCTTATCACCCTTATACCTTTTTCACACTGCTGTTTGAGAAGGGCGCCATATTTCTGTAGTTATTGTCTCTGTGTGCGTGTGTGTGTGTGTGTGTGTGTGTATGTATGTGTGTGCGCGCGCGTGTGTGTTTTGGGGATCTTTCGGGGATGATCTTGATATGATGGTCCTCCTTTCCACGCCCGCCTGGTGACACCAATAGGACGGATGGGAGTTCCAGGAAGCTCCGCTGGAGTGTGAAAGAAGACACGTTGATCTACTTCAGCCCACAACCACAGCCGCAGTGTCACTCAGCCGCAGGCGGCTATCTCGTGAATGTACCCATTGAGAGATATTGATGCTCTCTTGGAGGACGGTTGGGGGACGGGAGGTGTGGAGCTGTCGGCCAACACGTCGGGGCTACTGTGAATAGCATGGGACCGTACGATAAGCAGCAACATGAGACAAGGTTAAGGGTGGGTTGGGTTTGGAGGTTCCAAAACGTAGCAAAATCAACAGTTTACAAGCAAGATGATTGAAGTATAACTGCGCAAGTCTAAAAGATGGGGTGCCGATGTTTAAACCGCTTCTTTTCTCAATTAATACTGGCAAATCCGCTTGGACATAATCTGTGCAATGGGGTTGGCCGGGGTTGGAAATGCTGCGGAATGTTGGGCAGCAGCCGTTGCGTCCTGCGTCGCGGCTTTCAATGCGATAATGCGATTACCGGTTGACTCACCGAGCTCTGCTCTAGCCCTGCTCTAGCCCTGCTAGCGGCCGCATGGCGGCGGGTCAGGGGTCATGTTTGCCTCGGCTCTATTTTGCTCTTCATTGATACGCGCCCTACAGTACTTTTATATCCGCTTCTGGCACACACCATTGCTACATCCGCACCCCGCACGGTAAACAGCTATGGCGAGGGACGCCCGATGTGTATCACTCAGCGACGGATCCGAGGCCGACGCTGTCGCAGCCATGATATTTAATCCCTCGCACTCTCCGAATCCCTTTCTTTGTCGACGCCCGGGATGACCCCCCGTGGCAGCCCCGTGTTATTCACACCTTGAGCTCGTACCTTTTCGCACCTCCCCGCTCCTTCCCCCTTATCAAAGTCCTATCACGCTCCATTTTAATCCGCAGCGCCGAGCATTGTGAGCTCCCCCCC